AATAATATATACATATATAAGAATGTCCTCATTTGAATTTATAGCATATAAAGAAACTTAACTTTTTATTTCAGAACTTTATTGTCTGTTTTATACGTAAGTGACAGAATAAATATTAAAAATCAGCAGAAGTGGGTGCTATGCTCAGGAGGAGGTAGTACTCAGCATTCACTTGACCCTGCAGGCTCAGTGGTAAAGTCCCTGCAGTGCACATGCTTCCCCACACCCTGCCCCTTGCTGAGATCTTTTCCTCAAGGAGACAGGGCACCTGGCTGAGGTAAGTACTGCCCATTATCTCCAGTACCTTTCCTAGCTGCTAAGCCTCTTGTTCCTTGCTCTCTCTGCTGCTCATTGTGAGCTCATTTCCTCAAAGGGGCGGGGGGAGGGGTTACCGAGGACACATAACAGAGCTGCTGCAGAGTCTGGTTAGCATTTGTGCTGTGGTAAACGGCTTGAACAACTTAAGTGCCGCCGCCATGGCCGAAGATATCACACCCGATAGGAGCACTGTGCAGGTGCTACGAGACATGGCTAACCGCTTACGGATCCATTCCATCAGGGCCACGTGTGCCTCCAGCTCCGGTCACCCCACGTCTTGCTGCAGTGCAGCAGAAATCATGTCAGTGTTGTTCTTCCACACAATGAGGTATAAACAGTCAGACCCAGAACATCCGGACAATGACCGATTTGTCCTCTCAAAGGGACATGCTGCTCCAATCCTTTATGCCGCTTGGGCAGAAGCTGGTGACATCAGAGAATCTGACCTGCTGAGCTTGAGAAAAATTGACTGTGACCTGGAGGGGCATCCCACCCCTAGACTGTCGTTTGTTGATGTGGCAACAGGATCGCTTGGGCAAGGACTAGGTGCTGCCTGTGGAATGGCTTATACTGGCAAGTATTTTGACAAGGCCAGCTACCGAGTATTCTGCCTGCTGGGAGATGGCGAATGCTCAGAAGGCTCGGTCTGGGAGGCGTTATCATTTGCTTCCCACTATAGTTTGGACAATCTTGTAGCAATCTTTGATGTGAACCGTTTGGGACAAAGTGGTGTTGCACCACTTGAGCACTGCACAGATGTGTATCAGAGACGCTGTGAAGCCTTTGGGTGGAATACTCACTTAGTGGATGGCCATGATGTGGAGGCCTTGTGCCAGGCATTTTGGGAAGCAACTCAAGTGAAGAACAAGCCCACTGCTATAATTGCCAAGACCTTCAAGGGCCGAGGTATTCCAAATGTTGAGAATGCAGAAAATTGGCATGGAAAGCCAATGCCAAAAGAAAGAGCAGATGCAATTATCAAATTAATTGAGAGCCAGATACAGACCAACAAGAGTCTCATACCGAAACCCCCTGTTGAAGACTCACCTGAAATCAGCATCACAGATATAAAAATGGCCTCTCCACCTGCTTATAAAGTAGGTGACAAGGTAGCTACTCGAAAAGCATATGGTTTGGGTCTGGCTAAACTGGGCCATGCAAATGGAAGAGTTATTGTACTGGATGGTGACACAAAGAACTCGACCTTTTCTGAGTTATTCAAGAAAGAACACCCTGAGAGGTTCATTGAATGTTTTATTGCTGAGCAAAACATGGTAAGTGTGGCACTGGGGTGTGCCGCCCATGGTCGAACCATTGCTTTTGCTAGTACCTTCGCTGCCTTTTTGACCCGAGCGTTTGATCAGATCCGGATGGGAGCCATTTCCCAAGCCAACATTAACCTTGCTGGTTCCCACTGTGGGATATCCACTGATGAAGATGGACCCTCCCAGATGGCCCTGGAGGATCTAGCTATGTTCCGGAGCATTCCCAATTGCACTGTTTTCTATCCAAGTGATGCTGTCTCTACAGAGCACGCTGTTTGTCTGGCTGCCAATACCAAGGGAATGTGCTTCATTCGGACCAGCCAACTAGAAACTGCAGTTATTTATTCCCCACAGGAAAACTTTAAGATTGGAGAGGCCAAGGTTGTCCGCCGTGGTGTCAATGACAGGGTCACAGTTATCGGAGCTGGAGTTACTCTACATGAAGCATTAGCAGCTGCTGATGAACTTTCTAAGCAAGGTATTTCTATCCGTGTCATCGACCCATTTACCATTAAACCCCTGGATGGTGTCACCATCATCTCCAATGCAAAAGCCACAGGCAACCAGGTTATCACTGTGGAGGATCACTACCCAGAAGGTGGCATTGGGGAAGCTGTATGTGCAGCTGTCTCTGGGGAACCTGACATCCTTGTTCATCAGCTGGCAGTGTCAGGAATGCCTCGAAGTGGGAAACCTAGTGAATTGTTGGATGTGTTTGGAATCAGTTCCAAACACATCATAGCGGCAGTGAAATATACTTTAATGAACTAAAACAGCTGATTTCTTACAAAGCCATCTTGTAAGACTTTGGTCTTGAAACAGTTGTTACAAAACCATCATTTATATCTATACCACTGTGCTTTTGTTGCTTTTAAACAAAGCATGTTAACACCTCTCTTCATTCCTAATTCATAAATTCAAGTTAACTACCTTTAAATTAAACTGTGACTGTGTATACAAATGTCATTCTCATTTTTGAATCAGTAAAGTGTGTTGTAAAATTTTGTGTAACAGAATAGTAAACAAAACTACCTAATATAAAATTTTCTGTTAAGAGTTCACATAAGTGTGTTGGGGATTAATGTACAGGTAGTAATATATGTAGCATAAGTAAAAACAAACAAAAAAGTGAACTGTAGATTTCAATAGCCCAGATTTTGAAGCATTACCCCTAGGATATTGTGTTCCCTGTTTGAGTTTTTATATAATGCCATCCTACCTGCAGCTTCCCAGATAATATTCGACTGCAGTTACCTTGGCATTTCTTTCAGTGTTTGCCTTCATCTCCCCTCTACAATTCAGACACTAAAGCAGCAACAAAACACTTCTAAACTTCTAAAGTATTGCACTGCTTGTGTTTATTCTTCTGTAAAGAACTGAAAGCACAACCATTTCTAGTCTGCATACTATACTGTTTTGAGAGGTTTCAGAAGTGTTTTCATATTCTGAAAGACCAAACCAGACTGCTACCTTGATTTCTTCATCTACTTTGTTTATTCATCAAATAGTAGTTAAAGTCATTGTTAATAAAGCATTTTAAAACTGGCTGCTTTCTTCAGTTTGTAGCCTGTATGTGTGATTGAGTTTCTCCTCAATAAAAACCTAAAGAAGAAATTTCCATCTAAGCCTAGAGCAGAGGAAGTGAAAAAAAGTAAATCTGAGAAAAGGTCCAGGCAGGAGATGAATGAACCCTGGTGACAATGGTTAAATAGCCTGGCTGTTAATCGAAATTCTGACAGTTTGAACCCACTAGCCACTCTGCAGAAGAAAAGACTTGGTGATCTGCTTTGGTAAAGATTACAAGATAGGAAGCTCTATGGGACAGTTCTACTTTGTTCTGTTGTTTTTATGTGCCGTGGAGTCAGACCTGACTCATAGAGACCCTTCCTTGGGTTTCTGAGGCAGTATCACTACGGAAGTAGATTGCCCAACTTTCCTTCTCAGGAGTGGCTGGTGGGTTTGAACCGCCAGCCTTCTGGTTAGCAGTCAAGCGCTTTAGGCACTACGCCACCAGAACTCCTACGAGTCAGAAAATGCAGAACAGAATTTCAAATTCTCACGGTCTTCAGACTTTCTGGAGCCGTGAAATCTGAATGAAATCATCCAATTATTTTTCTGATATAATCATTAATCCTTAAACCAAAAATATCCCCTGAAGTCTTAAAAGTAAATGATAGTTTAGTAAAAAATCTCTGCCTTGAGAACTATGCTTTTTTGAAAACTGTCTATATGGCATCAGATTGACAACAGTAACCTGAAAGATTAGACAGGAACCTTAAGGATCAATAAGTTTATGCTAATAGGGAAGAACAACTCAGTAAAGGAGAGTGAAAATGGTTGTACAACTTGAAGAACATAATCAGTGTACTGAATTGTATATGTCAAAACTGTTGAATTGATGTATGTTTTGCTGTGCATAGTCTTACAACAATAGCAACATTTAAAAAAAAAAAAAAAGGAAGGATAAGCTTCATAGAACCTTTGAGGCATTGAGAGTTATCATGATATTTGAATTTCAAGAAGAAAGATGAAGAAGATATAAACATTGATGACAGGTATATGAGAGGGCAGATTATTCACCCAAAGGCTGTGACATTCTGATATGTAGATTTGTTCACAAACTATGTTGTTGGTTGTTGTTAGGTGCTGTCAAGTTGGTTCTGACTCACAGTGACCCTATGTACAACAGAACAAAACACTACCTGGTCCTGCACCAGCCTCACAATTCTTGCTATACCTGAGCCCACCACCACAACTCAAAAACATCAACTTTTCTTCAGTCTTCTTTATTCATTGCCCAGCTTTCACATGCATATGAGGCAATAGGAAATATCATGTGTAGTCTTCAAAGAGAAATCTTTTGCTCTTCAGCACTTTAAGGTGGTAGTTTGCTGCAGATCAGTGCAATACAATGTCTGATTTCTTAACTGCTGCTTCCATGGGAGTTGATTGTGGAGCCAAGTAATATGAAATCTTTGACAACTTGATTCTTTTTTCCATTTATCACAATGCTGCTTGTTGGTCAAGTTGTGAGGATTTTCATTTTCTTTATCTTGAGGTGTAATCTATACTTCAGACTGCAGTCTTTAATCTTCATCAGTAAGTATTTCAAGTCATCCTCACTTTCAGCAAGCAAGGTTGTGTCATCTGCATATCACAGATTGTTAATGAGCCTTCCTGCAATCCTGATGCTGTGTTCTTTTTCATATAGTCCAGTTTCTTGGTTTATTTGCTCAGCATACAGGTTGAATAAGTATGGTGAAAGGATACAACCCTGATGCACACCTTTCCTGACTTTAAACCATGCAGTACCCCTTGTTATGTTCAAATGACAGCTTCTTGGCCTATGTACAGGTTCCTCATAGAAACAATTAAGTGTTCTGGAATTCTCATTCTTCTCAATGTTATCCATAACTTATTATGATCTACACAGTCAAATGCTTTTGCATAGCCAATTAAACACAAATAAATATCTTTCTCATATTCTTTGCTTTCAGCCAAGATCCATCTGACATCCATAGTGATATCCCTCATCCCACATCCTCTTCTGCATCCAGCTTTCATTTCTGGAAGTTCCCTGTCAACCTACTGCTACAACTATTTTTTGAATTATAGTTTATATCAATGACAAGTCTAAGAACTCAAAATGTCGAGTATGCCCACATTATCAGTCTTGCACTTAATATATCATGAAAAATCATTTATTTCCTCATAAGAACAATTGGTTATAGTTGTTTGTGGTGACTTACACTTATCCTTACTACTTTTTAGTTTATCCACATACACTATTTCAAAATTATTTATCTACCACACATGAATTCAGTGGAGGTTGGAACACTGCTCAATAGTACTATCTTCATCCTGAAAGCTTTCTAGTGGACACTTTGTTTTCATTAATATAGCATTTTCATCTTACGTGCATTTTCCAAGAATTTTTAAAACTAAGATACACATTATTTTCCATTTTTAAAGAATAATTTGAACTAGATTGTATGATAATATATTTCTCAACCACTCAGAATTTCTGCTGCTTCTGTACTTATGTTATTCATCATAACTATATGTTGTAGAATCAAATGGACAATGCATAAATGACAATCAGTCAGACTTAGATGTGATTTTTTCCATAACAATGCAACAGAAAGATGTATTTTATGAGCAATGTTGATGCCCATTCTTGCTAAGTTCGCTAACTCATATACTAATTATCGTACCCTCAATTGCTTTATATTCTTCTTTTCATTGTCTCATCTGTGTCTCTATTTCAAAATTCCTCTCCATTTTTATTTATTTCTACCACCAGTAATCAATCATTTGACAATTACTGTATATATGATGTACAAGATACCCTGCTTAAAAAAAAAAAAAAAAAATGCACTGCTGTGGAGTCGGATCTGACTCATAGTAACCCCTCCTTGGGTTTCTGGGGTGGTATCACTACAGAAGTAGATTGCCCAACCTTCCTTCCAAGGAGTGGATGGTACGTTTGAACTGCCAGCCTTCTGGTTAGCAGTCAAATGCCTTAGGCACTACGCCACCAGAGCTAGATATGTTTTAACAGTCTGAGAAGTCTGGGAGAAGTGATCTGTGAAGTGGTGACTTATATGTCAGTTTGTCATTCTGTGGTGGCTTGCATGTTACTGTGATGTTGGAAGCTATGTCACTGGTATTTCAAATACCGACTGGGACACCCATGATGGACAGGTTTCAATTGAGCTTTCAGCTAAGACAGATTAAGAAGAAGGATGTAATGGTCTACTTCTGAAACAATTGACCATTAAAAACCATGTGAATAACAGTGAAGTATATAGGGCTAGAAGGTGAATTCCTCAGGTTGGGAGGCACACAAAATAGAGCTAGGGAAGAACTACCTTCTAAAAGTAGAGTCAACCTTAATGACATGGATGAAGTAAAGCTTTCAGAACTTTCATTTACTGATATGGCATGACTCGAGAAGAAACAGCTGCAAACAATCATTAATAATTGTTACATGTAATGCACAAAGTATGAATCTAGGAATATTAGAAGTTTTCAAAAATGAATGGCGCAAATGTAAATTGATATCCTAGGCATTAGTGAGCTGAAATGAACTGGTAGGGGCTACTTTGAATCAAAAAATTATATGGTCCATTGTTCTGGTAATGACAAATTGAAAAGGAATGGTGTCACATTCATCTTGAAAAGAATATTTCAAGATCTATCCTGAAATACAATGCTGTCAGTGATAGGATGATATCCATAAGCATACAAAGAAGGCCACTTAATGCAATTAATATTCAAATTTATGCACCAACCACTAAAGTCAAAGATGAATAAATTGAAGATTTTTATCAACTTCTGCGTCTGAAATTGACCAAATGTGCAATCAACATGCATTGAAAATTACTGATGATTGGAATGTGAAAGCTGGAAACAAAAAGAAGCATCAGCAGTTGGAAAATATAGCTTTGGAGATAGATATGAAATTGGGTATTGCATGATAGAATTTTGCATGACCAAAGACTTATTCATTGCAAATAACTTTTTCAACAAAATAAACAATAACTATATACGTGGACTTCACCAGACGGAGTACACAGGGATAAAATTGATTATCTCTGTGGAAGAGACAGAAGAGAAGTTCAATATTATCAGTGAGAGAAAGAACAGGGGCCAACAGTGGAACATACCATCAATTGCTCATATGCAAGTTTAAGTTGAAGAAATTGAAACAAATGAATAAGAACCAAAATAGGACCTTGAGTCTATCATTCCTGAATTTAGAGACCATCTGAAAAATAGATTTGCTGTATTGACCATCAATGACCAAAGACCAGA